AAAAAAATTTAGTCCGAATTTCCTCTGCATAGTCATACATTGAGTTTTGTTCCTGTATATTTTCTTCAAGTACAAACATATTAATTTTTTAAATTGATATTGAGTTAAAACTTAGTTATTTTACCCATTCAGAACAGTTTTTGACTTAATAGATTACACTTATAAAATTTCCCTTCTGATTTCTGAAACCTGAGTAAACGTCTACCTTAATACTCCAGTAGCTGAAACTCTCAATTGCAAATGCTAAATCGACGCTTAATGATAGAATTATATTTTTTATTTATACAAAATTTTATTCACATAAGTGAATGGGATTGGGCAGCAGGCAAAGCCTATTTTAGCCCTCTCCCTAGAATTATATCATTAAGGATCACAAATGCAGAGCAACACTGACGTTTAATGAAACAAGCAAATAGTGTATCATTAAGCGTTGCAGCTGCAACCTTTAATGATAAAAAATCCCCCCTTTCACCAATCTGAGATCTTGTCATGCATTATTTTTTCGTGTAAATATGCAATTTTTAAAATTATTATTTTTCCTATATTTTTCATTTCTAACAGATCTTTACTGGTGAGAAATTCTATTAGAAACACCCCCCTTTCTGATAAAACTTGATACTTCGATCTTATATATTTCAATTCCAGTGAATTTTCTTGTACTTTTCCCAGTTCTTTGTATATCTAATGTTATTTTCAAAATATATTTACAGTTTAAATACTTCGAGTATGCATTGGTCGTTATTTCAATAGTGGTTGCAACAATGCATAGTATGCACAGTTTTTGGAAAACAAAATAAATATAATTTACTGCCGAGAAAGGAGTTTGAATTAAGAATACGAAAAGTACTCTCGGGAAAATTTTGTAAAATTGGAAAATAAAAAAAAATGGAAAATAAACCAGTGAATCAACAAATACTCTGCATCAAGAATATGTATGCTGAATGTGCTACAGAAGAGTGATGAACATCGGGATCGATCCTACAGAAATGACAGGTCACGGTGCAGTGGTCAGGCGAGCAAAAAATATATGCAAAATACTTTTGATATATAATAGAACATAGGCAATGCACATGGAGATATGTTTTACAATATACTTTTTCCATAGATAATTTTTTAAAGTTAAATGAATTTATCTGAATGCATAGAATAAGTACCATTAGAGAATTTTTTCACTTTTTCGCAAAATAATGAATGAGTTTAAAAAAAATAATTACAAAGTGAAAACTGTCTAATCCGACACCTGAATAATCCGACACTCTGTGAATTCCGAAGTTAAATTTCTTTCCCATTTTACTTTTTTCAATTTTTTTATCACTGTGAAATCCGAATTTTTTAATGTGTGCAAAAAGAGTCGAAGAAACATAACAGAAATAGTTTTTAATCATATTTTATAAAGATGTCATGTTCGAGACCTAGAATTAACTACGTGGGAGTAAATACATGTACAACATTACAACATGACAACAGCTGTCGAGTTCTAAATTTATTTTATAGAACATGAAAATGTACTTCCAAACGATAGAATGTAATTATAGGTAACATGTCAGAAAAAGGATTTAAAAAGAAATAGCGATCGCAACTTCTCGGGCCTTTTCAACTAGCTGAAAAAACAACAACATCGAATGTATTACACGGACACCAAGACAACCCCTCTTTTCAGAAACTTTGAAATAAATGATAGAATTCTTCTTATCTGTGGAGCATGGAGTTTACCTTCATTAAATGCAGAAATAAATGTATTACTAAAATATAACACATAATGAATAAGTAGATGTATAAATTTTTAACATCCGAGATTATTTTTCCGACCTCTGACGGAAAGACCAGAGAAAAATTGGTTGAAAGATCAGCCTATATAATTGCACGGTTCTCTGACATGTTACTTATAATTAAATTTACCGTTTAGAAGTACATGATGTTTCACAATATATGCCACACATCTAAATGGTATAATCTGAATACGGAGCTATAAATATAAAAGTTGGTTTACAGTACTTCCAAAAACTATAGATATTAAGCATACTCGAAGGAAGAATATGGAGATAACGAACAGTACCGTAGTAATCAATATCAAAGTCCATAAAACAATACAAAATAGGAGTAGTGCAGACCTCTGAAACATCAGGGGTGGGATCAGGTGCCATGTATGGTAAGTATTAAAACTGTAAATTATATTTTGAATAAACATTAGATATGCCAAAGAACGAGGAAAATTACAAGAAAATTCACTAGATTTAAAATGTACGAGGGCCGTTCAAAAATTGAACGGACTGTGCTATTATTTACTCTTACAGACGTCATATAGTAATAAAATTTCACAGAAATATGTATCTTAAAGATTCCAATAAATTTTGGGCAAAATTTCTGTATTCAAAAAAAAATTCTACTAAAATTATCGGTATGTTGATATCGTTGATGGAGAGGTACGGCGCACGACAAAAAATTGAAGCACGCGGATTCAAAAATTTAACTCATTGATTTTCTAAAATTCGCGATATTTTTCAACAATTTTCTCAAATATACCTTTAAATTGTTCTATTATTATGTATTTAGATTTCGGACGTAATATTTGAAGTACTTACAGAAATATAGTGATTTTTCTCTGATGCAATTCCCGTGAAAACGACTGTGAAAATGACATCTCCTGCATTGACGGCGCACTACACTTTTGTTAAAATATGTGTAATGCTCGAGATATCGGCAACATAGATCCAAAATATGCATAATAAAACATATAGTAAACAAGGCTACTCGTGGCATTCACCCACAAATAGCAAATTGAAATTTTAGACAGTTAGACCTCTGCAAAAAGGCTATACGGGAGGACGGGAAGAAGATTATAGACGAAAAGTTAACTTTATCCGGATGTAAAGAACGTGATTGAGAGTCACCAATATCACACTATATCTCATAAGTAGTTTTTGGTTTAAAAAAAATATTCTTTACTTGTTTAATAGATTTTAAGCTTGAAAAGAAATGGTGTTTTGATGGTGAGTAGATAAGGTAACTCAAACTATACAGGTACTCAAGGGAAAATGTTGAGAAAATGAAAGCTCAATCAAATATTTTTTTATAATGCTTGTGACGTCGAAGATTTTGCTGCGCCGTGACTTAATGGTCTGTCCTGAAAAATCACTCAAAATTAATACCAATTTACAACATTTTGATATGAAATTTTGAAGACCATTGTTTGTATCATCTGTCCTTAAAACTTGTCCATTTTTCTCATATAAACATGACTTAAGCTGATTAATTTTGTTGACAAAAGTTTGTTTGTATCATCTGTCCTTGTCGTTGTTAAGACTTAGAAAAAATGACAATATAAAGTCTGATAATTTTTTAAAAGAAATGTATTGTCAGTACATGTGTATACCATATACATTGAAAGTTTTTAATTGTACTTTTATCTAAGGCAAAAGCTATAGCTCTTCAAGATCGAGTGCTGGGAAATAAAAGCGATAGATCAAGTTATGCATTTAATTTCATTCGCCGACAAGAACTGAAATCTACAGTAATGGTGTCTGTTTTGTTGGGCTTCTACATCATTGGATGGACGCCGATGATAATACTCTTTTTCTATGAAATAACTTGTGTTAAAAAGTGCGTGCAATCTCCATTTATTAGGTAGGCATTTCCTAGTTATGATGTAATACTAGGTTTTCTGTCGCAAAATATCAGATTTATACTTTTTTTGAAAATGTTATTTCTTATTATCTTTTGAACGAGATTTATTTTGTTCATGTTGATTCAACACCACTTACTGATGAATATAGCTTTCTACTCGGCAATGCTCGGGTTTTTGAGAGTGAGATTCGTTTTGTACATTGTACCATTATCTACTACTTCAATGCAGTATATTTGAACCCGAAACTTAAGATTTAATTGTTTACTTCACAAAATCTCGAGATCAGCTGGAGCTTTCTAGGATTGTTTTCAATATTGTAAACGAGTTGGCATGTACTTTTGATAAATCCTAGGATGAAATTGCAAACTAGTAACTTATTATATAAATTAAATCAACATACATGTTGATATATAACAAACACGAGTTCTTAAAAAATTATATAATCCCTGCATATTTTATGAAGAATTTGAATCACTTTAAAATTAAATAAATCTTTCATCACATTTTAAAAATGATAACAAATTATTTAACATGTATCAAATGCTTCTATTTTTCTATTTCAGAGCTACTTGTCGAATTCTTCTATATATGAACTCGGCTGTAAACGTATTTATTTACGCAGGCCGTTTGCCAGAATTTCGAAAAAGCATTCAAAATGATATAACAAAGCTACAAAAATATTTTTGTTTTTGTAGAAAGTAGTTAAAACTGTGTCCATGTTCCTTCAAAATAAGCTTTAAAAATACAAGCGACTTACAGGCATGTGTATACGATATGTGGCTTAAACGAAATTGAAGAGGAACCTGCGATATTCTTCTTATTTAATATAACCCCGACAATTGTGTCTAGATATGTGTAAATGTTGTTAAACATCTCTCTCTAGATTTTAAATCGTTCACATTGAGACACTAACGCTAGTCGATGAGGCTGAAACGAAGACCTATGCAAGGAACACATGTCCATTCAGTTAGAGAAACTTTTTTATGCCAAAATCTACTGGGACACGGGATTCGCTTTATTCAGTTTCACCGAAAGGAATGGTCAACAAATCCTGCAGGGATAAACAAGGATAAAAATTCAGCAGACGTTTTCACCATTGCGCCAAGAGGACAATATTTCTTAAAGAAAAGATTTAGAAAAAATTGTTAAGTTTTATACAAATATAATAACAAAACTGCTTTTATTGTTTTAATACAAATGATTAAACTTACTTAGACATTGTATATATTCAAATCATCAATAATAAAGGAGTGTAAAAAATGTAATTAATTTAAATGTAACAATGAATAATGTGATTCTTGCTATGAACTATCATTTTCATAAAAAGAAATTTCTGTATGATTAATTGTTTAGCATTAAAGAAATGAAATTGATTAAACAGTTCTTTTTGTTTGCATAAACGCATGCATAAAATCATCACGCAAGCCATTCGATTGATCATCTTCATGAAATCAAAAAAATCTGACAGTTATTCCTTATATTTACATGTTCTTTATTCCGCTTATCCACTTGCTACAAGCCCCGCTTCTGTCTCTATTTGTACCGCCCCGCAAGTGATTTTTTTGTACGAAAACGTGATTGTAAGAAATGTATCACTTCAGGTCAAGATAACTAACTTCTCAAGTGTTGATAACTTTCTGATTTGTCGGCCAAACACCGACTTTATATCTTGTCCAGTCAAGACAAGCTGTCATATTTTGTCGCAATGACGAGATAACTTTAAGTCACAAAACAAGATAAATTATCTCTTTTTGTCGATATACATATAGCTATCGCAAAAATATGAAAGCTTGATTGTACAAGATAAAAGTTGGTGTTTGACGACAAACCTAAAAGTTTTCATGACTTGACGAGATAATCATCATGACTTGACTTGTTATGCTATGTTGACAAAAAATTATGTGGATGACATAAGTATGCCACCATACTAAATAAATAAAATTAGAATACACAAAGAAAGATAACTTTTTTTCTGAGCACTACAATGAGATCTAGGAACGAAAAGTGAAATGTTTTAAATTGATATTCACTTATAAATACATGTATAAGGAAATATACCTTAAGTTTATATGATAAATTTAATGTCCATCACGCGCACGAACTGTCTATTCTAATGAAAAAGTCTACAGAACTAAAGATTAATATGGATCTCTCTCTCCCTCCCCCCCCCTCTCTCTCTCACACACAGAAAATCAATTAAATTGGTTTGAAATGAGAAAATCAATTTCAAATCAATATTATTTTCAAATGTTTTTTTACTGGACGTTATACCTTGAATTGATAACAAAGTTACTGGATTTTATACATATTTATACTGAACATCATTGCGATCGTCGTGAGAAACCTTTGTAATCAGTACATTTTAATGAAATTATTTTTTTATTTTCATAAAAAATGTTAATCTACGAAGATATAATTTTTTTTTATTTTTTGTCTGAAAAATTATCCTTGAAATCTGTCCTTAGACAATTGTTAATAAACATTGTTGAACAAATATTTTGTTTTTGGCTTTAAGAACTCCTTTCCTTGATTTGTTTAATTCTATTTAGTTTCACGTTTGACAATTACCTAGGAAATATACACAAGTATATTTTACTACGTTTACTGTATGGAGCAGTTTTATTGTGCAAATACACTGAAAATCATCGATAATAAAATGTGATCTTTATTATCTTAACTGCTTTGAGCTCTTAAGGATAGATGATACAAACAAATTTTTTCTTTGAAAAAGTTTTAATATCATGTCACAGATTTAGATAAGTGGATGGTTCCTAGATTTTTTTTCTGCTAAGAACTGGAATATGAAAAAGACTTGGAAAATATTAGTAATATTTCATTGAAAAAACAAATATAGACAAATCAAATTCAGTAAAGGTTTACAGGTGAAAATAAATTTCAGAATATGTTATCTTGGCGCTAAAAGTGTAATTTAAACCTCTGAAAAATATACCAAGCCAAGTGAATTTTATAAGGAAAAGCAAAATGGTGAAAATCAGCCTATAAGATATTGGTAATTTTTTGTCATTTTGATCTTCCTCTTAAAATTCACCTGGCTCGGTATATTTTTTTAAGGTTAATATTACACTTTTAGCGCCAAGATAATATTTTTTGAAATTTATTTTCACGTGTAAACCTTTACTGAATGTGTTTTGTCTAAATTGGTTTTTTATTGAAATATTACTAATATTTTCCAAGTTTATTTCATTTCCCAGTTCTTCGGAGAAAAAATTCTGAGAACCATCCACTTTTCTAAACTTGTGACATGATATTAAATCTTTTTCAAAGAAAAAAATTGTTTGTATCATCTGTCCTTACTAATGACGGATCTGGCGCTAAACCAAATGTCATAGTAGTTTTTTTTTCTCATTTGAAATTGCCGCGGCATTCAATCAACAAGAGGATTTTCAAAATATAATTACTAGTGTAATATGTACTGTGGGTTCTCCAGTCATGGAGAAAGAAATATATATAATTTTCCTTACGTTGCCTACGTCTATAATTGATTGGTGAAAATAAACTAAAAGAGAATTACGTGGAAATAGATTTACAAAATATATACAACAATGATTCTCTAATGATTCTTAAATGTTCCTAAGCTATCCCAGTGCTTTAACTTTTCAAGGTCTGAAACCAATTAATTGAGCTTCCAAAGCTCCCAGACCTTATGTCACAAAGCAGTGTCTCCAAACACTCTCTATTATATAATTATTGTAGTAGGTTTGGAACCTAATGTACCCCAAATGGTATGTCTGCAGTATATTGAGACCCGCAAATGAGGCACAATAAATTCCTTACCTTTTTAACACGTTCCACGCTGATCAACTGCCACTGGTAGACTAACTACGAGCATCAGCGCTCGCCAGTATTTATAGTTACCCAAAGACGCTAAGTCATCGTCTTTGTCTTAGTCACTAAACGTTTGATGTTATATAGCTAATACACTAGGAAGCATCTGATTGACAACTAATTTGCATATTATTAATTTGATCAAGGAAATTTCCACTACATTACCCACGCCTCCGAAACATATGCGTCCCGCATATCAATGAAATAAAACATTTTTTTTTTCTTCTTTTATTTTTCAATACACATACTTCAAATTCCAGTAATTATTTACAATGAGTTTAAAGGTAATGCAATATCTCTTGACATTCCCGCAAAAAAATAATAATCGAATGAGTCCTATCAATAAACATTTTGCTCAATGTACTTGTCACTCGACAGAACACAAAGTGTCATAAAACACTATTCTTCACTCCAAATAGAAGAATTCCTCTTCTTCGACAGTTTCCACAATGTTCTTTTGGTCTTTGGTGTACGTTGACACCACCTTGTGAACTTTTCTTTTCTTAACGTATCTGTCTTTACAACCACAATTGGTTTGCGTAGCTCTCGTGCATGTACTTGTAGATCCAAATGAAAATCTCCCAAGTGGTGTTGGTTTCTCAGGAAGAGAAACAGGGGTCCTTCTCTTGGGTTCAAACACGGGTGCTGGAGCCGTGGCTTTTCGAACTACCCGTCCTTTCTCTGGAGATTTTACTTTGATATCAACACTTGCTTCTTCATTCACGCTTTTGACATCTTGTGAATCTGGTTTGGTTTCATCATGATCTCCAATACATGAATTATTCATCAGCTTACCAGCACCTTTATCACCATCATCATCCTCGCTACTCGAATCACCAGATTGGGAACTGCTCTCGCTGACACTAAGGGTCTCATGAATTACATCTCCGGGATCTTGTTCAAGCCATGATTCATCTTCCTCGTCTTTCTTTTCTTCACTAACTTTAACCTTCTCATCTGCTTTTTGCTGATGTTCCGTTTGTTCGTGGAACTTCCTCTTATGACGAATCAAATAAAGCCTCTTTTTGAAAAGTTTTCCACACACTTTGCATGGATATCTTCCTCCATTGCAAGCTAGCAAATGTTCCCTCCAGCGATTACCGTCTACTTCGCCATCACACAAGGGGCATTTGTTTTCCTTAGCTTTTGTAATTTTCGTATTTGCCATCGTAGCTGAAATAATAAAGAAATAAAATAGTTACATCTCTATTCTATAAACAAAGCAAACATAATTATCTCTGCTACCTCTTAACTTAATAATTCTAAGTTTCATAATCATTTAACCATTTGGGTTTTCTACGAATGCGTTTATGGTCACTTTCATCAACCAATTCTTCTACAGCATCTACATTAATTGGGCTTTCATAGTCAATTTCGTCTGACTCGTCTTTATCTATAGATGCTTCGTTGTCAATATATAAATTTTCAAAGTTTAAAACTTGTTCCTTCTTTTTGCGCATCCTATCACAATGGATGATTTGCTTTTCACCCTTTCTACCACATGCAACGGCATAAAGAACATCGGACCATTGCTCAAGAACCTCGAATGGCCCGCGCCAAAATGAGGTAAGCTTGGGCGAACAACCAATTTTCTTCTGTGGAAAATATACAAACACCTTGTCACCAGGCTTAAATCTTTCCCATGCCATTTTCATGTCATGGTACCTCTTTTGCCGATTCATGGCGGTTTCAATATTTTGACGGACAAAACTATGTGCTCTTTCTAGCCTTTCCCGTAGGACCCAAGCCCAGTTGTTTGGACTTTCTTGTTTCAGGGGTTCTGGCATTTCATAGATTAAATCTAGAGGTAACGATGTTTCTCGACCTAACATCAGCATATTAGGAGTTAGTCCTGT